AAGTACATCCTGCCATGTAAATGCAAGGTCATGATAAACTTGCAAAGTGATAACACTGTGGTTTTAGACAACTGACGTAAGCTTTAGGAAACCATTCTTTGTAACCCACTTTTAAGGCAGGGATGAGTTCTGCACACACAAGAGGCAAACGGAGATGAGCATGTGGTGTCAGCTACAAGATCGTGTTAAGATTCGTATCTGGCCGACGGGAACAGAACTCTAAATTATATTCAGGGGCTCCGGCTGAAAAGCTCACAGGCCCCTCGCAGAGCAGCCACACGCCACAGGGCGGCGGGGCTCTGCAAAGAGGCTCTGCTGGGTGAATTCCTTCTTTATTCGAGCCTACACTACAGTTCACTGTGGAATTTTGGTAATTGAATAAATTCTAATAAACTGTCTTATCTGGTATAGATGTAGAAGAAGGCTTTTCATATTTTGTAATCTTGTTTTTTCATATTATAAAAAGCAATAAATGGTGTGGGCAACACACACGAAAGCATGCAAATCAAATAAAAATCATCCATAATCCCACTAATTAGAAACAACTGCTATTGATATTTTGGTTTATCTATTTAAATATTTTCATTCTTTTCAAGATGGCACATACTTATTTTGCAGGATGCTTCAAGAATATTTCTAAACTCTTTGTGGTGCTAATGCTGTAGGCTAGAATTTACTTTGGGGGCAGACTCTCTCTTCCCACAAGAACTACAATGATGAGCCTGTCTAGCCATAGAAATACAAGTTCAGCAAGAGTTTTTCATACTGTAGCCATGAATATCAGTGAGGTGATTCTACTACTACAACTTGTACTACATTACCACTAGCACACGGTGATTGCAATGCTAATAGGACTGCTAGCATTTTCGATATGCTGGAATACATCCTATTTTAAGTGCATTACCCTGATTAATCCTCACAATACCACTATGTGGTAGAATAACCACACTACGTGGTAAGTCCTCTTATTACCCTCATTACGTAGGTGAGGAACACAAGGCAAAGAGAGGATAAACAATGTGCCCAAGGTCCTAAGTAGTAAGTAGTAAAGTTGGGATTTGAACCTGGACATTCCATCTCCAGTCTATACTCCTTCTTTAGGCTGAGATGTTAACCAAGATGTTTGGTACGGTAAAGGTTGCCTTCACTGTGTGGTGAGTGTAACCTTAAAAAATCATTAAATTATGCCCTGGCTGGCGTATCTCAGTGGATTGAGTACGGGCTGCAAACCAAAGCATCGCAGGTTCGATTCCCAGTCAGGGCACATGTCTGGGTTGCAGGCCATGGCCCCCAGCAAACGCACATTGATGTTTCTCTCTCTCTCTCTTTCTCCCTTCCTTCCCTCTCTAAAAATAAATAAATAAAATCTTTTTTAAAAAGATATAAAATTTAAAAAATCATTAGATTATTAGTGGGCTTGGTTCTGATTCCTCCAGCATGTTGGGATACAAGGGCAATACTCCAAAGGGCAGGGGTGAGGAATGGGGCGGGGGGGAGGGCGTGGCGTGGAGAGAGAGAGAGAATGAAAGAGAAACTGTAGCTGAGATGAGTGTGTCCCTCAGTGCAGCAGCAGGCCAGGGGCCTAGAGCTAAGGAGGAAGGACAGGCATGGCCCCTGGGAACGGACATGGCCCCTGGGAACAGGCATGGCCAATAGATTTTAAGAGCAATGACACGGGAATTCCAACTTGATGTTTTCCTTTCTTGCCTTGTAATTTGGCTATGCTGTTCTCAAGCCATATTTAAGTTTATTAAACCACAGAGTTCTCTATTAGCTGGTGTCTGAAGAATAAAGGGGTGTTGGGGTGTGCCCACGTTTGAGGGCTAGAAATAGGTAAATTTGATCGGAGAAGTCTGGGTCAGCAGGCAAGCATGGAAAGTGGAAAACAAAAACCAGAATATGCTGGAGATTTTCCAAAATAACTGCTGAGAGCACTGGACTTCCTACAGCCCTGTAGGGTGGGGCAGAACAGTGAAAGAGAAAATGTTGAGATATTATGAGCAGCTCAATTTTGTGTTGAAAACTGGGGTTGCTTGAATTGCACATATAACACAACACATAGGAAGTCAGACATCTAGGTTGTGTTCCATTTCTTTTAGGCTATCAGGTAACAATGTGTGACCAAGATGCCCATTGACTAACAACACAATGAGAAATGAAAATATGAAGACAGAACTGGAAAGAGATAAAATCTTTTCTTTTATAGATGACAACTGGCTACATAAAAAAACCCAAGAGAAGCAATAAGTAAAGTATTAGAACTAATAAAAGAGTCCAGCAACATTTCTGGGCCCAAGATTAACATAAAAAAATTAATGTCATTTCATAGGCTAATAATGCCAATTAGAAAACTATGGTGTATACATTCAATTTTGATCCAAGTCCCAAGAGGCATTTTAGAGAAACTTCACAGCTTATCCTAAAAATCATGTGGAAGCGTAAAGGTCCAAAAATGGCCAAGACAATTTGTGTTGTTTTTTAGTCACTTAGAAAAGAGGAAACTCTTTCCATAAATTACTGTTCAAGCACAGTTGTCTCCACTTTCCCCCTCCCCCACCCCACTCACCCTTACCTCCCACCCTCCATCCTACCCCCCTTTGGCTTTGTCCATGGGTCCTTTATACTTGTTCCTAGAGGATCCTTCTTCCCCTTCTTTCCTGTTATCCCCCACCCCCAACCCACTTCCCTCTGGTTACTGGCAGCTTGTTCTTTATGTCAATGTCTCTGGTTAGAAAAAAGAAGGAAACTCTTAAGCGGAAGGGCAAACCAATGTGAGTGCCTGTCAACTAGCTATCTTTGATGGCAACACACGCATGATCCTACCTAAAAGGGCTAATGAATTTTAGCTGCTTTCTCTTTGTTGGGAACCGCCCTGACTGGTATCAGAAGCTGAAACCCCCGCCTAGCTAAGGCTAAGGGAACGCCCTTGGAACCGTAAGCCAGCAAGGAGATAAAAGCTTGTCTTCCTGGCAGGAATGCTGCTTCTGCTGCTTTATTCATGACTGAACCCCCAAAAGCTTGGTCGGTTAGCCAAAGACGGGTAAGATTCCCCACGGGGGGAACGACCTAAGCCAGGCACGATCACTTTTGGGAGGCCCCCCAAAAGAAGGACTTGGGGGGCTGCAGCAAAAGGGGGGTGATGGACCCTCGCTCCTCGGCTTTGACATAGCCTGAGTTCTCAGCGTCTGGGAGAAAATCTCCTTATCTCTTGGTTGCCTTAGTTCCCTTGCTCCACCTAAGCCTGAAACAATGACAGGGTGGTGCAGCTCGGTACTGAGAAGTGCGGATTTCCCGGGGTGATCAGGCCTAAGAAAGAACATGTAAATTACTGTGAAACCTTCTTTGTTTAGAATGCTCTCAGTTGAATGAGAAGGGTCTTAGGAGGAAGTTAGTTTGTTCCTCAGTCTTACAGCTCTTTGACCCCAACTCAATAGACAGGCAGAGTTCTTTGTTTTCTATAGTTCCTTACTTCCCCCTAATGAGTATTATACTTTACCTGAATTATTATGCAAAATGAGCCTAATAAAAGCAGGTACAGACGGTAAATCAGCGCGCTCCCCACTGGGGGGGGGGGTGGCCATTTCGTCCCTACTTCTCCACAGAAACTAGTTTGTCTCTGTGCATGTTGTTATTTCTCGCGTGTTTATTGTCGAGCCATCCACAGCGTTCCGTGGTCACTGCTGGCCGGTGACCCACGCGCAACATCTCTTCGTGACCAACACGCCTGGAAAGCAAATATTTTGTGTGGCCATTTCTTGATACATTTGTCTAATGGAAGGACTCACAGCAGAGCGAGTGGTTAGTAGCTGATAGAAAAGCGAGGAGAAGGTTAAGCTATAGGTTGCAAACTGGTGGCCTGAGAATACAATTTGACCTGCAGTATATTTTGTGGAGTCTCACAGTTTTGACTGGTAGTATTGTGTCGGAAAATGTTCTAAATTGTTGTCAACATTTAAAAAGCTAGAGATTGCATATGAAGACCATTGGTGGAAGCCGAATTGTTGTTCTCTTCTTTAGAGAGAATCATTCTTTTTTGCTTGCTATTGTGCACGCCACTCTTAATATCTCCTGTGGCTCTCATTTGAAACTCCTAACTGGTCCCTCCAGTCATTTGAATTTGTAACTCCCGACTTAGATAATACCAGCAGATGAGGAGAGACCCTTCTGTGGTGTAGATGTGGGGCCCTAGGTCTTGAAGAAAGTAAATGGGAAGAAAGATAATTCAACATATCTGAAGTAAGGTGTTTTTCTTTTCATCAAGAAATTCTTTGTAGGTCACACGCTAGAATAACAATCTACTTTGTTTTGAAATGCAGTGTAGTTCAATGGACTTTCATTTAAATAACAATGGATGTATTAAACTACACTGGAAGCTACGAAAACTCCTTCCTGATGGACAAAGAATTCACTTTTCTCTGCAAACCACAGCAACTACTCACTGCCTACCAAACTTTGCAATAAGAAGCCAAATACTTGGTGGCAATTAGGATGTTGCCTCATAAAGCCACAAAAACTGCCAAGGAAGCACCACCTACACATTTGGGACAGAATGCCAGGAAAGATACAAGTATATTTCGGAAAGCTAACAGCGTCACAGGATGCCACTGTTTCACAACATTTATTCCCTGGGTCAAGGAGGGAGAGAAAGACCCTCAGCAAAACAAACTGCAGGTGTGCAGTGAGAGGGAGCCTGGGGCAGCGCCGGTAGGAGGCGGGCACGGCCACTTTAAGGGCTTGATTTGGTTTTCTCCAGCCAGCGTCGGAAGCCGACCATCATTTGGTTGTTCCAGATCATTTCCACTGGCATTTGCCTCATTATTGTGTGTCTCATCTCAAGGTGTTTGAATCCTTCAGTGGAAGGCAATTACTTCCTTCATGGCTCCTTGCCCTCACCTGACTATGTAACCCTGGACCTAAAGCTACAAAAGAGCGAGCTTGATTCTCTTCCCCAAGTCAGAAAACCTCCCTCCCCGCCCCCACAAAATCAATGGAATACAAAGTTGATTTGAGTATTTTATTTATAAATGTACATTTGCTATAAAAGCTGTTGCATTTTAGGCAACTTTTTATTTTCTTACTATTTTTCAGAGGCATTTTAGAATAAATATTTTAAATGAAGGTTAGTGTAACTGACATAGAACACTGGCCCACCGGAACAGCAACATCTTTTGGACGGACTCACACGGGAGGTGGATCATTTCAGTTCATTAGGTCTTACACTGTGTATCAATAACTATAATAGGTATTGCATTAATAACACTACATAGAAAGAATGAGAAAATGTCATGAAAGTTTGCGAGTGAAAAACAGAGTTCCCCATTTACTTGTAAGAAAGAGAAGGAACTAGCTTTTGGAGTATGAGAAAAAATCAGATATACTTCCTCAGGAACAATAAATCATTCACTTGCCTCATCTTTTTTTTTTTAAAGCAAACACATTTACATTGTAGCTCAACAGAGCAGAGCATTTTTTTTCCCTGGGATCTCAAAGATTATTTGAAAAGAAATAGATCATACTCATTATGCTGCATCGGAAAAAACAAGATCTAGTCTGCCATGTAACAGACTCCAAATGAAATATAAATCAAATATAAATAGAAACAGTTGGCAATTAGAATTTAGAAAATGTTGGAGATTATTCTGTGCTGGTGACTATAGTTCATTATGGGAAAGCATTTCGCAGTTGGAGAATGCGCTTTATTTTTCTTGACTCAATTCTAGCTTCAATACATGTACAATGAGTCTCTCTAAGAAATATGTATAAATGGGTTTGTGAAACCAGAAGAGAATGTGCAATATTCATATAATTCCTACATAACGGATGGAGTTCCACATGTAAAAAGTATTCCATAAAAATCGGTTATGAATGATCATATTGTACATGTTTTGTGCATTATTTCTGGTAAAGCACTCTGCTAATATCATGCAAAGTGTAAACATCACATTATCAAAATATTTAATAAAACATGCAGGTGGTTAACCAAAATATTGAACTTAATCTGTACATTTTCAAAACTTTTTCTTTTTAATTTTTTCTGTTTTTCTTTTTCTGTTTTGATTTTTTTCCCCCTGTAAAACAGTGAACACCTCCGTGAGTCTTGGGAACTTGGAGGTGACTTCGTCTCTCTTCAATGTACTGCATCCATAATTCATCACTGTGTGCAACAGCTTTGCATTTTCTAAGGCACAATTTTTAACGAAGGGATGTGTAAATTTCAGTCTGACAACAGCTCATCCAAATGACAAAATAGTCAAAACACCTCCAGTGGCTGAGGAAATTTCTGCACTTACATGGAACCCGCATGCAGAGAACCGTCTAGCATGTAAATAAATAATTGCTAGCCATACTCAATAAGACACAGAAAAAAATTATTGCTTACATAACAGAAAAACATCTACTTGATCTCCTTTTATGACTACATTAACCTATTAGGAGGATAGCCATAGTCTACATTCACAAAATGTCATCTTCACTTATTTGCCATCATTTTAAGGCAGAATAAATAGTTCTCCTTTCCCCAGTTTTAAAGAAACAGCCTGGAGATTTAAAACATGATGCTTTCCTTTCTCGATTCCTATCTTGGCTAGCTGAAACTCACCACACAGGGCAAGAAACAACCAGCTCTCCACAAGAGTTCCTCTCTCAAAATCTCCATGAGCAAGGTCCAGAATTCTTGATAGGAAAGAGAGTCGGTGACGTGGGAGAATGAGGAAGACCAGATATCCATTACAGTGGGCAGCACACATATGACCTGTAGGTTCTTGCTGGCCACACCCCAGTGGCTTATCACATCATATGTCATTTGGATTCTATTAGGATGAACTTAATGTTTTTGTTTAGACACCTGTGCTCAGGCCCTGATAGAGAACTTGCAGGCCAGGGTGAGCTGAGGTCCCACTTAATGGAGGACTGTTCTCGACGAGAGAGCTTCCTTCCGTGTGTCTTATGCAGAGTCTTGTATTGAATGTGGAGTCTGAAGAGAAGCAAGCAACAAAGTCCTCATGGCTAGCAACGGCCCACCACTCTTTTGAAGATCAAACTTCCTTATACGTTTTGGTAATAACTTTGGAAATGATGACTAAAATAGTTTCCTCTGTTTTTTTTTCCCTACCCTTGGGCAACATCCAGAGTGTAAGTCTGGCTGATATTGCAAGGGTTCTTTCTCTTCATTTGATGGGCCAGACTCTATCAATGGCATAACCTTCAAAGTATACAAAACCTAACACTAATGGTGCAATAATTTATTGGTATGACTTCTACCTCAAAAGGTAAGTAACACAAATGTTTCAGGATTACAGTATATATTATCAGATTAGTGTCTTTGCATTAAAAACAGTTATAGCTCAGAGCTATATGATGTGGTTTTTAGTTTCTGAAATGCATTAATTGTATGCTCCTGTCTTAAAAGACCATGTGTCTCAAATTGGCATGTCTTGCACTTTCTGCAGCTCAATTTTGTAAACACAAAGTATTTAATTCCTAGAAATACTAAAACAAAACAGGTTTATTGAATCATTTATCTCATTAAGTCCCAAAAGAAGAGAATAACACATTTTAAACTGTAAGTCTGTCTGACCGTACTAACACCTTCTTTTGAGCTAGTCAGAATCATTACAATTCAAGATTTTTTTGTATATACTGTGCAAATGCAAAAAAAAAAAAAAAACCAACAACCAGGAGAAACACAAACAATGTGCTATAAAAGAACAGATACCATTTTTTAGAATAGCCTTTCAGAAATTAGATGAATGCTGAGAAGCCCCTGAACTTGGAATTCTGTTAAACAATTGCCAGGAGACACTCTCAAGAAAGAAATGGTGGGTGGTCGGGAAGCCTGAAAGCCATGTCACAACGTCGTAGGCTGGCCAGCACCTGTGATGAAGAAATCAGAGCGACATTTGGTTGAAGTAGTCAATGCTTCTTACTTCAGATGTTTACAGGTTTCCCAAATTAGCTATGCCCTCTGTCTCTTCCCCCCAGGGAGGGAAACTTGTCCCACCCCACAGCTCAAAGCGTGGTGCCAGGAGACGCAGTACTGGCATTAACTGGAACTTGTCAGAAATACGGACTTCTGAGCTCCATCCCAGGACTTAACATGGAGCCCAGGTGACTCCCACACCCTGCAAAACTTGGTTGAAATCATCTGGACTTCACCCTACACCAAATGATCTCCATCAAGTTTTCTACCTTGTCTTCTTGGCAAATAAAAAGAAAATATTCTCTCTCCTCTCAGTTTCTTTAGGTTTTGGATTCTCTAAGGAGAAATGCATTGCAATAGGAGGAATTAGACAAATGACCTATAAACAGAATTGCCAGGTTTAGCAATTTAAAATGCAGAACACCCAATAAAATCTGAATTTCAGAGAAACAACAAAAACCATTTTTAGCATAAGTATCTGTCCCATATGATATTTGGGATATAGAAGTGCCAACTTCTAAACATACACTATTTGAAACACAGGCATACAAAAGAAATTCATTGCTGATCTGACATTGGAACTTAACAGGGCAGAACAGCATTGAACTGGGCATCTTGCCTTTAGCCAGCAACCCTACTGGGGAAGGATGGATCGGGTTCCGTATCTCCTGCTGACACCTTCACCAAGTGTCTCGTTTTAGGCACCAGAGCTCTAATGAGGCAGCAGCAACAGTGGGAAAGACCCCGGGGATTTCACGTTAAGTGCATTTCATGCGAGTGACTGACGGAGCAGACACAGAGACACCGCCGCCCGCACCCAGGCACAAATGGCACGAGTGGGACATGTGACGGCTCGACTCGTGACAGGTAATTTGTTTTGCACTTCCATTGCCATTTACATATGAGCGTAAAAACTGTTTACACTGCTTTTAGGAATTGCATTTTAATATGCTGTTATGCTATTTTTCCTCTGCAAGAGAAAATTTTCATTTAAATGTGACTAGTTACTTGAAGAAAATAGGATTATATATTCAGGTTTTATTATTCCACGAAATGAAATTATTTTGTTTCACTTAGAATGCTTATGATGTAAACCACCCCTCATATCCATCCATCTCCCCTCTTCTCAACTCAGATCAAAATCAAATAAAAAAAAAAGAAAAATGAGTTTTTGCTATTTCTTCCCATTCTGACTCTTTTATTGCATCTGGGGTATAGTCAACCAATTCCAGTGTATTTATACTTCTCTAAGTGAGAATTATCCCTTCCGTCTATTCATTCCTAACTAATGTTTTTTTCTGACGACACCAAGAATAAAAATGAACAGTATTTTCAGATGTGCTGGTCATTCTCCTCGTCATGTCATTTCTTAAAGTTTAGCCTAAAATGACATTAACATTTACCTGGGAAACTAATGTGAGAGAAGAGTTAGGAAAATTTGGAAAAAATAATTAGAGTTAAGGTGGTCATTATTACTCAATTTTCAAACATATTACGAAGCTATAATAATTGAAACTGTTTGACATTACTGTAAACAGGTTAATAACACATAAATATCCAGAAATAGACCCAAGTATATATACTTAGTTTATGAGAAAGCTAGCATTTCAAATTAGTGAGGAAAAAAGATTATTCAGTAAGTTATATTCACACAATGGGCTAACTGGGGGGGGGAAGAGGGACATCTGTCTAATTTCTTACACCAAAATATATTCCTGATGTCACAAATTTACATATGAAAAAGAAAACAAAACACATTTCTAGGATAAATCTCAGCTAAACATATGACCTTGGAGTAGTGAGAGTTTTTCTAAATAGAATGCGAAACACGGAATCCAGAAAAAAAAGATATGTTTAATTACTTAAATGAAAATCTTTTCTGTGGGAAAAAAATCGCAAGGTAGAAAGATGAATGGTAACTACAACAAGCAGAAAATACAAAATAAAATAAAAATTTCTGTCATTTACAAGAGACTCATATAAATCAAGTGCCAGTAGAACAATGGGCAAAGGATAAAGAGGTACAGTTTTTAATAGAAAAAGAAATATAAATGGTGCATAAACATAAAAAGATGTTCAAGCTCACTTATAATTAAAGACATACAGGTCAAAGCGATGAATTCCCTCCCCACCACCGCCACCTAGCAGAGTGCAAAAGTAAAAACCTGGCTGATATCCAGGGCTGACACGGGCGTGGAGGGAAAGAGGCTCTTGTGCACTTTGCAGGAAGAGCACACTTTTCTGGAAGACAGTTAGGCAGGTTGTCTGAAAATTTAGAAAGCACGTGCCTTTTAACTCAGCAGTCTCACTGCTCACAAGCTACCCTGTGGAAATGCTTTCAAATTTCATCAGGATGTATAAACAAGATGTTTGCTGGAGCATTTAAAAAATAGTATTAGAAAACTGGAAACACCTGAGGTGCCCATTCACAGAGTTTTAGTTTTAAAGTCCATAAGGTAGGATTGTATTGAGCTATTAAAAAACCATTGACACCCTGGCTGCTGTGGCTCAGTGGGTTGAGTGCCAGCCTGCCAACAAACCAACGGGTCACTGGTTCGATTCCCAGTCAGGGCACATGCCTGGGTTGTGGGCCAGGTCCCCAGTAGAGGGTGTGCGAGATGTAACCACACATTGATGATGTTTCTCTCCCTCTTTTTCTCCTTCCCCTCCCCTCTGTCTAAAAATAAATAAATAAATAAAATCTTAAAAAAAACATTGGCAAGAATGAGGAGAAAGAACATGTCAGATGGAAAAATTGCCAAGATATATGTCTAAGTTAAAGACAACAGCAACAAAAGCTAGGTACAGAAAACTGACTATGTGATTAGCTCTGTGAAGTAAAAACCAGCACGTGCATCTGTGTGCACGTGTGTGCGTATCTGCACTCACAGGCGTCCCGCCTCTCTCCCCAGGCCATGATCAGACAGTGGCTGCTTTTTTTTTTTAACTTTTAATTTGGTATCTTTCTGGACATTAAACTTTTCTAACCTTATATCACATGACTTTTACTTATTTATTCTTTTGAATGTCTATAGAGGTTATCTCAACAGAGAGAGAAGACTTTGCTTTCTTCTTAGAATCTTAATATTCTAAAAAAAATCCTAGTAAAATATTGCATTAAAATAGAAAATAAAGAAAAGAATCCCATCTTTGGTATCCTTCCAAATCACTTTCTTATTTTTCATCTTATGAGACTGGTACTGAAACTCCACGGTTCCTGTCTTCAGATTTGGAACTAAAAGCAGGTAGTGTCCCTTATGTTCATACACATAGGAAAAAAAATTTCTGGCCTACATCTGAAAAGTTAATTTCCAACAGAAATGACAATGAGTCATCCAACTTCTCAATTAAAATAAAAATCTGGATGAAAACAGGTTACTGTCCCCAGGGGTGGGTACACGTTTGTTCTCTGCTGGCATCCTTCAAGCACTTTAAGTTATGAAAGAAATTCGGATTTACAGCGCTCTTGAAGTCTGGCCCAACAGTCCTGCAACCTAATGGTGCCCTCTTCTGGTTCCAAGATTCATATTCAGGTGGACTGAGAAAAACTATACTTTATAGATTATAGAAAAAACCACTTTAAAAACTGGGGGGGAAAGGGTTTAGTTCTCACTTCTATTGTATTAAGACAAAACAAACAAAAATTCAGTTAAAATATAATTATTGCATATTATACATGTATATATGTATTTCTGTATGCATGGTATGTAAGTGGTATTCTATAACATATTTTATATATTTAATACACAGTATAAAAATCACATTATACATTTATACCATATACAATATACATATAGTATAAATATATGTTTATAGCATATGTTTATATATTATACATGCTATATATAATTATATGTGCTATATGCTATTTATATATTATAAATATATAAATTTATATTATATAAATATATATTGTAAATATACAAATATATACTATATTATATAAATATATACTATATTATATATAACAGCTAATATAAACATATAAATGTAAATACTATAAAAATATAATATATAATATACATAGTCCAGTTAGATGGTACCAGCTCTACGTTGGAACTGTTCTGACCTCAAGTCAAGTGTTTATCATAGGTCAGAATCACCTGGGCTTGATTAAATTTTATTTCACGTAATTTTATAAAAAATGCATATATTTCTCAGAATATACTAAATCTATATCTATAAAAGAACTTAATTCCATTTTTTTACTCTTAAAGTCTTTAATCTTACAGATTTAGAGATTCATGTGAAAATATCACTGCATTGACCTGGAGAAGAAATAAAACATTCTTGAATTTCAAATACCATCTCTTCATTCCTTCCCTCCCTCCCTGCTGGCCTTTTCAAAGAAAGTCTCTGACTGAGGGATTTGCACAGAGGAGTCTCTTGCCTAGGCCACCTACCAGAAGGACTCATTTATGCTGGAAAATGAGGCAGGATGCAGAGGCTTGGCCACTGGCTCTTTACACATTTTCTAAGCAGAGGCTGGGCAACAGCACCCCCTGGTGCCGCCACAACCAAAACGAACCTTCTGTGGCAGGACAGCCAGAGAACAAGGTCATAGGGCAGGCTACTCAAGGGAGCTTCCAGGCAGCACGTGTTTTGAAAGCTCTGACTATGTGCTAAGGTATTTTTGGACAGGGGCAGGGATTCACAAAGAAGCAGAACCCATCATTTAGACTCTCAAGAAACTTTCAATTTAGCTGGGAGTAAAGATATATTATGTCATGAAACTCCTGAATGCTGAGCATGAAGATAAATGAGGAGCTGGTGCTTGATTTGATGAACAAGGGAGAGCCATTCTTTATGCTTAGCTCCCCCACCGGCCAAATGGTGCCGGTCTCCTAAGGATACACCTCCACAAGTGACTAACAGTGTTTTACAGAGCTTCTATCTGCCTTCTGTCTCACCCAAATCTCCACGGTGAGCTCAGGCAAAGCCTCAAACTTGGCATACACTTTTTATCCGGTGGTGTGCGAATGAACTTCTAGATGAAAAGAAGTTGGCCACACCCAAGCAGTAACTTCCAATAACAAACAAGTGCTACCTAAAGGGTTATTTCATTATCGCTTCCTCCTGTAGATGCTAATAAATCTTTCCCTCGGGGTAGGAGTGTCAACCGGTGGGCAGAAATAACTGAATTCCTCCAGTGGGTCCTACGAAAGGCATGAGGCCACACACACTCATCTCCAGCCCAGTACTCACTTCTGGATCGCATGTAGCAATCATTACAATTTAGGAGACCGTTGCGAATCCGAACATCAGTCCCGCTCACTGCGTCTCCCAGCTGTCCTTTACAAATTCCACACTAAAGAGGAGAAAGAACAGAAGTTATAAGGTGCATAAGGAATTTCTCTACAATGCGTAGTTACCGTTTTCATGAGTAGCACAATAATCTCTTAGACAGCCTCTACATTTGAGCACCTACTGTGTGTTAGATGCTGCCCGAAGAACTGACCTACAGCAACAATATCCTTTTAGCATTTTATAGTGACTCCTTGCATTTTGCAGAGAAAGACTGTTTCAGAGAGCTTAGCTGAGTTGCCCAGGGTTGTAAAACTGCTGAGTGGTGTTGGATTAATCCCAGAGCCTGTGCTATTAACCTCTATCACAAGCTGTTTCTATGTCAATATGGAAAACCATTTTATTTTGTATTGTTATTTTTAATGAAATTTATTGGGGTGACCTTGTTCAGTAAAATTATGTAAGTTGCAAGTGTACAATGTGTTCACCACCCAAAGTCAAATCTCTTTCCATCACCGTATATTTGACCTAAGTACCATTTTAAATAGTCAAATGCTAGTGGTTGTAAATAAACACTTAGCCAACAGATTATCAATTAAAGCTTCCCCGTGACTAATCATTAAATGCTTTCCAGCATTTCTAAGCAACTCAGCGTAGCTAAGTTCAGGTCAGAATTACTAGGAAATAGCTAGCTATCCACCTTATCTTTCCACATTAAAGGCAGTGGCACCCAGAGTCACAAATCTGCTGAGAATGGAGCAGCTTTCAGCCAAGTCAGCTTGTGTGCAGGACACTGTAGGACATACTGCGCTGGGGGTGCCCGAGAACGTGGCAGTGGGGTTGGTTCTGGTGCCAGCCTCTTGCCGGGAGATCAAGGCTCAGCTCAGGAGTAGAGGGCGGGCCTCAGACTCATGCTTTAAGGTCACCTGGGACAGAGGGAGGCGTCATCCCAGCTATGTTACAAGTTGCATCTACATCACAAACGTAGGGGATAAACCTAGGAGGTGACGTATCTTAAAGCATCAGGTCAGCTCCAGAAAGTGAATGACTAGAGAGAACAAAGGCCTTGGCAGCTTAGAAAGCAGGTTTTCTATCCCCTGAGAATCAGCAAGTACCCTTTGCCACCTTGATTATTTTGAACTCTGGTAAAGTTTTGGAGAACTAACTATGGTGTTGGAACATATTATCTTGGCATAATCATGACATTTTAAAAAGTACATTCCTTGAGCTTCAAAATACTCCTAGACCATTTAAGACAAGCAGTATCTTCATTAATTTTCCAATGAGAACATTGATAAGTTGAATTTCATTAAGTCTCCACATTGTGTTTTGTCCATGATAAGCTTTGCTTCCCAGTGATTGCTGATACTATTAAGTAAATACTTTTGGGACCACTTCACTTGCTTTCCCTGAGCCTACAGATAAAGTGGGAGTTATTTTAACCTATGCAAGTGTACTTTATAGCTGAGGAGACTACCAACAAGAAAGAGAACAAAATTCAAGAAGGACTCTTGCATGAAAGAAATGACTCTTACTCAGAGCTGGAGGGTTTAGTTTCAAAAAATATATATTAATTTGAAACATGTTCATGAGCCAAAAAAAGAAGTTGGGAAATGCTGAAAGATGCTAACTTATACATTTTATAATAAATCAGTTATAACTGGTTAGCTTACCTAAGTATGAGCAGGAAATCTGGGACTAGAATCTACATCTCATCATTTTCAGTTTATTCATTTATTTGTTTACCTAAAAATGTTTATAGACACCATCTGCCAGGTGCAGAAGACATTGTGGGGAGCCAGACACACATGGTTCCTGCCCTTATGGAGTGGACAGTTTATATGAGAGGAGTTGATAATTGAAATGATTCAACAGTGAGTGATATGGACCATGAAAGGCTCTACGAGGACCTATCACAAAGGCAAGTGGCTTGGTCTGGGTGAACAGGGTGGCTTCTCAGAGGAAGTGATATTTAATTTGGGATCACAGACATTCATTTGGAGACCTACAACTTTGCAACTAGCTATAACCACACTTAAGTGACAGAAAAACCTTCAACATTAAGTCACAAGAGTTGGAGACACAGCAAAGATATTACATGCCAAATAAATCCACATAACCCTAAAAGAAGTCTCATTGTCTTCCCAGGGTAGCATTCTCAGCTTCCCGCTGCAGTCGACACTCTGCTTTAGCAACGGAACCTGGTTTGCGAAGGTACATTGCACAAACCTGTTTTGCTTCTTCTAACCTGACATCCCAGAGGGATGCATGATCGCTGAGTTTCATTGTGAAGGATGAATTCCACACACACGTCTGTAGGGGGTACCTCACGAACAAAGGCCATCGTGATTTCCAGGAGGTACTTCCCAGCATAGAACGATGCCAAATGACATTAGGACATGGTACTTAGAAGAGAGATGAATACATACCCTAAAGCACTGGATGTGAAAATAGAGATTGAGGGTCTCGATGATCATCGCAGCTCCTTTCCCCAAAGGAAGCCCACAGGAAGAGCACAGCTTCTTCCCGCTGATAGACCTGCATAGAAAGCCATAGGTAATAATAAAGTATTCCATTTAGAATAGTTGGTTAAATACATAAATATGTAGCTTCATGCAAAAAAAAAGAAAAACATGGATTTTAAAAATATCTATATCATGAGTGGAATGACAATTACTGAACTGATGAGCAGAAATGAAGCACTAGACATAACTTGCAAACACGTGCTAGACTAAATGCAATAGGCCTCCACCGCGGTACAGAATTTGGTGTGCGTGCATACGTGTGTTTGCATTATTTGTTACAAGAGTTTGTGTTGTGGTTTATTCAACCACAGTGATCAAATGCCTTGAAATGATGCAATGTATTTATCATGTTTACAGAAGTCCTAAAAGATAATGAAGTTTAGCTTTACTGAGGTTTCTAAGTTGCTTTAAAATTTTCTATAATTGATTCATTGGCCCACTAGGGAATTTCTTTGACCTATTTAGAAAAAGAAATCTTTTTTTGTTTAAAAATAGAGGGGCAATTATGATACAGTCCAACAGGTCCCAGGTAGATATGGGATCGAATCCCTGCTTTTTCACCCAGTTCTGTGATTTGGTGTAAAGAACCCACTTTGGGTTTCCCTTCCACCTTCAGAATGAGAGGGCTGGAGTAGATGATCTCTACTGCCTCTGCCAGCGTGGACACTCTGTGACTCTATAATCTGGGCACCCGACAGACATCCTCTTTGAGTTGTAAGCCCCTGTGGGCACGGGCTGCATGCATCCCATGTCTGTTCCCCGGTGCACGGTACCCACTGAGGGACTAGCACCAAACCCAGCAGCCCGACACCGGTGAGGGCACAAGAGGGCTGTCCAAGAAGGCAGCTCTCCCGAAATTCAGGTCAAACTGCACTGACGCCCGTTGTCTCTTGGAATTACTCAAGAAATGTGAAAATATGCAATATCATTCAGAAGCCAATGGGGCAGAGAGGGACAGCAGAAATAGAAAGGAAGATAAAAGAAAAGAGGAAGAGTTGCCCTAGGCAAACCCTATTTATTAGGATTTCCCTCTCATCCAGTAGTTAAACAAAATTTCTAAATCAAAGAAAATGGAGTACTCAGTAATTGGTCTCCCCAGTGAATGGGAATTCAGGCAGCATTTAAGAATATCATGGGGCTCAATTAATGTCCAGCAGCAATTCTCAGAGATTTTGAGCAGGGGAAAGGAAGGAGGCAGTTTTGTTGCTCAGCCCCCGCCTGGTTCTCTGTTAAGAGCCATCAGCCTGGAAGGACTGAGCCATCTTGGAAGGAAAGGCGCCGACTGAGGAGCCCAGCAATTGTCTGGTGGATTTTATTATTAGATTGCAGATTCCACACAATATAATTAAAGGCCTAGGGCCACAGCCATGCCAACGCCACACACTTGGCTTCTTCGGTCGTGGGCTGCAGACAGATGGGGAGTGTGTTCTTTCCTCCTGCCTGTGTGTGTGTTGAAAGAGCCTTGATGGACAAGCCCCTCAAAATCATTTGGCAAGCACTAATCCAGTTACAATTATGCTTGGCAGGCTCTCTTCAAAATAGAGCCACCCCAGAAAGGCTTGCTGACCTCTTGTACCTGTTTGGTGACTGGCCAGGAGGGGTGGGAGGACAGGGGGACAAATGTCCTGCCTGGAAGTTGTCTTGAGGGCTTTTCCTGTAACATGGTAAAGGAGCCAAAAATTATGACAAGGAAAGAGAAGCTCAATCCTACAAGAAAAGACATTTTAGATAAGAAAATAAAAAACTTCATCCTAGAGGTAATTTTTCTATGAAGGACAAAAAACAGTAATTCCGTCCAGCCAAGATTATACATGCATTGGCCGCACAAGATCAAAACCAGGCTGACACCATTGAACAGAAAAGACAGAATATTTTTCTCATCTTCATTTGTGCCAGGTTCTCGGCTGATTTAAAATTGCATGCTGAGTTAGATATAAAAATTATAGACCAGGTGAGGGGGGAGAGATGAGTAGGGATATAGTGAAAAGCTCGTACAGAGAGCCCAGAGATAAAAGATGGAACTCAGAGAGGTGTTTTTCAGTGAAGTGGCTTCCAGCCCTGTCAATAAATGCATTTCAAGAACATGTGATTGGGTGGGGGCGGCGTTCAAAACATTCAATGACAGCTGTGTCATGTGCACCTCCAAAGCACAATAGTCTCAGCCGGAAGCTAACGGGATGGTTTTACAGGGGCTGTTGGTTGCTCAAGCCCTGCCTGTGATTAAGCTGTCAGTTCCAGGATCTTGCTTATTGAAGGCATTTTCATTTGTAAAGAAAGGGACAGAACTCAGGGTACAGAAAGGGACAGAAAAAGCAAGGGTAAGAGAAATGCCAACACAGGAGTTGAACAGTGCATCTGTCTTGTGATTGCTTTCAGAATAAGTCCCTGAGACCCTGCCCACCCAAAACTCCCTCCTCAGGCAGAGCTTGTTTTCTCCAAAATACCACATTTTCATGTAATATGCTAAAATATAAATAACGTTGCCAGAAAAAAAGGTCAAAAATCACTTCCATGTGATTTCAGCTTTATTGATTCTGCGTGTCATCTAGGCAAATAGAAACCAAGTTGGGTAGACATAAGAGAAAAGGGGGAAATGGTTCTGATGTTGTGTTTTTAAAAATGGAACAGGGTAAAAAGATGAACTTATAAAGCAAGCTGTTATCATCATCATCTCCATCATTGTCATTGTCACTGCCATCCCCTGGACTATAGAGTCCTTATTAGTTCCCAGGTACAAAACCTCACAGGCAGGCATTATTATTATTATTTCCACTTGACGCCTGAGGAAACTGAAGCAGAGAAAGATTAATTAACGTGCTCAAAGCCCCGTGCAGGCAAGTGGCTGAATGAAAACTTGAATCCAGGTGGCCCAGCTCCAGGTGGAGTGACGGAAGAATAATGAGCATTATGTTTTTAAAACGGATTACAAGGAACGTCTAGTTCAAATATGACCTTATCGTGGAACTGCAGGTTCACTTTGAATTCCTCCACCACTTAACCAGTCAAGCACTCTGCACAAGTTATTCAATTTCCCTGAGCCTCAATTTGCTCACCTGAAAAATGAGAACGTAACCCAACTGGAGTTATTTGGAGAGTTCAGTGAGTTAATTTATGAAAAGAAGAGATGAGATATGTAAATCCCTCAACACAGTGCCTGTTCTATTGAAATGTTTCAAAAATGTTAGGAACTATCATTACTGTAAGAAGATACAAATCTTACAAAATTAGAATACAGCCCAGGGTAGCTACTTAAAGAGAAGGATAATGAGAGAAAACCATTTTTCCTTGAAAAAATATTTGTCAATAGATTCTGAGACAATTTAACTCACTTAAATAAATAAATTGCTAATACAGCGTGCCTACAAATTCTTTCCAATGTTTAATTTATGGGTTAAAAACATCACTTTGCCTCTCTCAAATTGATAAATTCAGAATGCATAATTACTTGCCTGGAGACTGTCCTAAATTTCCATGAATATTTCTCACCTTGTCAGTGAGAGTCAATGGAGAGAAGGCACAAAATGCTGCTAACATCTCGCCATCGCATGCTTTTTCATTTTCCCCCTTCTTAGCCAATACATTTTTTAAAAGGTTTTGTTTATTTATTTATTTTTAGAGAGAGGTGAAGGGAGGAATTGAGAGAGGGACAGAAACATTCATGTAAGAGGGAAACATCAGTTGACTGCCTCTTATTCACGCCCCGACCAGGGACTGAACCTGCAACCTGGGCATGTGCCCTGAACAGGAATCAAACTGTCCACCTTTTGCTTTGCAGGACAATGCTCCAACCAACTGAGCCATACTGGTCAGGGCAGTAAATACATTAAAAAAAAAGAAAGAAAGAAATTCCACGTCCATCTTTGGTTACTCACTTCCGCCTTTCATTTGGTGACTCAATCTGATGGTTAATGCTTTTGTCCAATGGGAGGGTTTTTGGCTTCACATCTTCTACAGCGTTCATGGGTGGGTTTGATACCTGCTGATTCCGGGATGGATCTGAGGCCAGATAAGGAACATAAATTCAGTACCCAGTTACGCCACTTTTGCTTAGTAAGACGCCTCTCTGTAAAGTGCTAATGCCTGCTGAGGTCTCAAGATGATTCTAGGGGGTCTGAGCACTTGGTGGTGGGAGTGGATTCCTGGTGCTATTTCATATGAGCTAGAAGAGAAGCTTGCAGCCAAGAGAAATCATATGTGTCTAGACAGTAAGAGGGGCTGTCTTATAACAATTTGGACATCAGGGTTGGTCTTCTCCATCCTTACCCTGAGCTAGCTGTGGGTTCGCCCCACAGTGTGGGGCCTCAGCTTCTGTAACCAGCTGGTCATCCTGATGGGTTCCTTTGGATATGGGGTTCTCTGAATCAGTCCAGGCCCCTTGAGTAAGGCTGTTAAAATAAATAAGTATATTTCAGAACAGAGATGAAAACAACTGAACCGAAATTACCGATCCTATTCCTTAGGGTATGGAAGTACCAATTTCAATATGAAAAAAATAAATGGGGCTAACTACATGCTTATCTATCCTTTTTATTTTAAACTAGGTTTAAATACTCTGAACTGCTACTCATTTTTACTATCCAACAATTTAACAAGCTTACAAAACCTTCATATCTGATGTCCCTCACACCCCCCTGTCCACAAAGCAATTCATTCTAATAATTTCAAGGGATGCCTGAGCTAACTGCTGCCTTCTTCCAGATCTTCACCAGAGGACTTTCTAGGGCAATCATTTGGGCTGCATGGGACTTTGGCAGCCTGTGGAAATCTACTAGCCTTTCAGTAGCTTCTGTGTGCCAAGCTACAAGGAGAGGTGCAAGAGATTTTTTTAAAGTTTCTGGAGACAACAGGGAATGTCTGGAGAACTGGTGAAAATGTACATGAAATGCTTATTAGTGGTACTCAAACATTCCTGGTGGGTGGCTTTCATTTCATAAAACTGGAAGTCCCTTTAAACAGTGTTCACTGGAAACAGGTGTGCTCTTCCAAGGGCTCTGAAGACTCTGGACGTGGGCCCCAAGCCCCTACACCCTACGACTCAACCAGTCTTCTAGCTGTTGAGCATAGGAGGATTCCCACCAGAAGAGCTCAGCTCTTGGCCAACCCTTCACTTGACCAATCTTTGAAAATCAGGATGGTTTGTGTGTTGTATAAGCATGCACATTTATCAATATCTACCTGTGATCTCAGAGTCCCAGAGGCAAACATCCATCTCACAAAGAACATGCTGGTGGCAGAGCCTCCTGGGTCTCTGTGAGTCCCTTCTAGGTCAGGTGTGGGGTGGCAGTGATAAACCCTCGATATCTCCTAGCTACAACCATGTTCTGTCCTGTCTGAGCTAGCTCTGAATGTGGCAGGTACTTCTGGGGGCCCTGTTCTGACATCCCATGGGACAGACTGGACCCCATGAGTGGGGTGATTACCTACAAACAATCAATTTGTCGGTTATTCATTATATTATCACAGAAGAGTAAATGTGGCTTTTCATGGCTCAGAGGATACTGATGACGTTCAGGCCCACAGTAGAACCACTGGGGATGGGACCCCAGCGCATCATCCCAACCTCTGTTCCTCCGACACATCAACCACTTCAGCTGAGTGATGTTTAGGTTTGGGGCTTTGAATTGATCCCATGCTCCTTTTCTAATCTCTACTGTCTCCCCTTAGTTAAAAGAGGTTTTGCCTGTTTAAAAATAAGGCTATTTATATTCAGTAGCACAGAGATACTGACTTCAGAGTTAGCAGAATGTATCCAGGCAATATGTAATGTATTACTGGAATGATCACTTCAAGGCCGAATGTGATCTGCATTAGCAATGAGTACTCTTCCTGGGAGAGAACAGGCGGAGCCTGGTTCTGCACATTGAGACGGACGGCCTGGTGTGGCTCATACCTTCCCTTTTCCTCCAGTGGCTCGCTTTCGCTAGCCCTCAGCAACAAGTCCTGGTTGTCCCCCTGGAATGGTGTCTTCTGTCTTGTGTCTTGTTCTCTTTCACGACAGTTTTCCTGGTCCATCTTATTCTAATGGGGCAAACAAGGATACTCTTAAATATAATTTTTGAACCCACTGGACAACACTTATCTCTGGCTAGGGGATAGTTGAAGCTTTTTTTTTCCAATCACATCACCTACAATTTAAAGAACAGCTGTTCAAATTAATTGAATAGTAACTGAGTTCTAATGATTTAAAATAAACATATAATTGGGATTTCTCTCAAAAGTCATCACAAAAGGGAGTTGGTTAGAAAACCCACCATCCAAAATTGAACGTCATAGAACTGCTCATTTCAGGACAAATGGCTTTCTAGTGCCCACCAGTTGTCTTTTTTTAATGCAGATTATGGGCTATGCAGGGTTTGGTATAACTTCTGTCCACTACCTTCGTGGCCATATTTGGAGGATATAGGGGTAGACTGGTCTTTCTGGGCTCTCTCCAGCCGTGGAAGACACATGTAAACCTCATGGGCAATTTTAAGGGTGCGTTAGAAGCAACCTGAATGGAGGCTGGTGGAGAGCCTACTGTTGGCATCCTGCTGCTGCCATCCAGTGCAAAGGGACGTGTGTCACGGCAGAGAGGAATGCTCGCCTGTTGAATGAATGAATGATGAGCAGTAAGAGGGACATTCCAGCACATGGCTCATGAATCAGGCAGGACCTTGCCAGCCAGTGCAGAGAGACTTGGTTGCGAGCCTGTGGGGGCAGACCTGGCCTCGGTCATGACTGCACTGCTCCTTGAGAAATGACTCTAGGATTTGGCCATGGCAGGGACAGTACCCAGGGGCACAATGGCCATGTGGTAGCTGATGTGATTCTAGGGAAATAGCCAGTCCTGGATTTAAACTTGTGGAAAACTTGGCCTTGTGGGTTGGTGCTTCTCTTTACCAAAGCGCTTTGAATCGATGGCCTTACCGCTGTGCCGCTGCCTTCCGTCACGGAGGAGGATGTGGACAGCTGGTCTGCAGAAGTCGAGGAAATAGTAAACGGGACCACAGTGTCTTCAATTATTTTGCGCTCCTAAGAGGAAGAACAGGAATTAATGAAAGGGAAAAAAATCAAACATGACATTTGTCAAGAGAAAGATTTCATTAAGGAACTTTAGAAAAAAGACATCAGTATTATATATAAACAAGCAGGGCATTAAAAAAAGGTCTTATTTTCTAAATGCATGTAAATCAGATAATACTCTCTATGGATAATGATTTAGAAATTAGCATTTGATTTAATAGAAAAACAAAGTCTTCACAAATTAATTAGTCAGGGAGACTCAAGAAGCCTTATTAGAAATGCTACAGGGATTGGATTATGTACAAAAATTATTGTTGAAGATAAAATTCACAGTAATATTAATCATATATAAAATTTAAATAATATACATAAAATTTAGCTCCCCTCAAATTCTCTAGTGTGGTCTGGTCTGTTCACCTAAAAAAATGAAACATACAAAACCAAATATCCCTCTCCACCATTCCTTATCACTGTATTCACTATATGGCACCAAATCTCTTTACTGAATCTTTTTAGTAGCACGTAGTGATTGCAGTGGTACGGATTCTTTTGGCCTTAATGTCACAATTATCGTCATAAAATTAATTCATTACCAAATGTGCTTTCTCAAACACACTGTAAATAAAGTGATACTTTCATGTCATCTCTCTAAGATAAATTAAGAATCTGACTCTCTGACTAGAGATCAAATATAATCATATTGTCTCTTGACTGTAGGGGACCAGCTTGTTTTGGTCTGGCAAATGTGTCTCAGCTGTGTATGGAAAACCTACGGAAGCGAGGTGGTGGGCAGCAGCCAGACCTTCAAACCGAGTTTTCCCATGGGAATCAGGCCTAGAAAATGCATACAGACTGTTAGGGCTTGCTCTTGCTAAAACTCCATCACCCTGGTCTAAAACAACAAATGTGTATTGTCTATCTTCAAGGTATCTTCCAAAGCCTGTGTGAATTTTCCCAAGGACAGAGCTAATCAGCTCGCCGCCATTCCCTTCTGCATACTATTTTCATTTCCTTGATTGTGCTGAAAATGTAGACAATAATATTCTATGTGATAATAAATCCTTCTTTGATATAAAATCCGAGAAAAACAATAAAAGCCTGTCAAGGCAAGGATTGGGAGGCTCTCCTCTTGAGAGAGTGGCTGAGACACTCAGAGGCACTCTCCCCTTGAGGGAGTAGCCATTCTGTCCCCCTTTTCTCCACAGGACTGCTGTCTCCTGTGCATTTATTCTCGTCTTCAGTCACAACAGACGGACTCTGCTGGCCAGAGTCTGCCACACTTGACCATGACTCAACACACCCTTATCACAAACTAAACTGGGGGGACTTGTGGTCTTTTAGTACCTACAGGATATGACTCCTTTGAAGAGGATGACAGGCTCTGCTTGAATAAGGAGAATCGGACACGGCCGCAGGCACACACATACCACAGACATGAAAATTATGGATTGACTTTGAGGAAACAGGACCACAAGGTCCAAGTTGTTTCTTGGAAATTTCCTACCTCCTCGTAGTATCTGCGTTCTTCCTCTTCCACTTCCTTTTGGGCCTTTTCCCACTCTTCTTTCAGCTTGTCCTGCTCCTTCTGGTATCTCTCCTGTTACAGAATTTCCAGAGACTGTTCTGAACTCACCGTGGCATGCCTCACTGGGCTTTCTCCCCCTCTAAACCACCATCTATCATGTGTTGTGAGACCATCTCCTTGTTGTAACATTTGGAATCTAATCCCCACCTGCAGCACAAGGGAAGTACTATTCTATGGTGCTCCAACATGTTAGGGACCTAAAAACCCAAAGGAGAACGGTGCAGAGTGGGGCAAAAAAAAGCGTAGGTTTACAGTTGTTTGTATGGAAAATAATACAATAACTAATAAATAATAATATAAGAATAAACTGTTTTTGCGTACTCATAACTATACACCTACTTTTGCCCTGTCCTGTCTTTTCCGTTGTTGTTTTATAGAATTGTTGTTCGCATATATGAGTAGGCAGTGCTTACAAAAAGAGGAAAGAGGGGCCCTGGCTGGCATAGCTCAGTGGATTGAGCTCGGGCTGCGAACCAAAGTGTAGCAGGTTCGATTCCCAGTCAGGGTACATGCCTGGCTTGCAGGCCATGACCCCCAGCAAGTGCACATTGATGTTTCTCTCTCTTTCTATCTCCCTCCCTTCCCTCTCTAAAAATAAATAAACAAAATCTTTAAAAAAAAAAGAGGAAAGAGGAAAAGAGTGAAAGATTCTAAAATCTTCCTTCATGTGGTTTTTGCTGTAGGAGGTAGGCTAAACCAATAGTTTGCTTTTTACTGGGCCTTTCAGAGATGAGTTTTGCCATTCCGTTAATAGAAATATGTTTGCTGCTGGCAGCGTTTAATAAAAGATAAAAAAAAAACCCAACCTTGCAGAAAGGTCCAAAGTGGACAAGATGATAATTAGCTGAGTAGCTGAATTACTCTTTGCTTGTAGTCATTCTACCCAAATGGAATCTCCCTAGCTTTAAGTAACTTCTGAATTAAGAGTAGCTTTTTAAACAGTCCATTAGAAGGCTTCAATACCAGAAGTGCCATTACTGTTTCCAGAAATAATACGACACTAGTCACCACTTCAGGGGAAAAAGAATAAAATACTCTGAATAAGAACGGCTTTCAAAATGTGCCTGGAGTTCCTGACAGCTGCCTAGAAGAAGTGAATAAATGGAGATTAAAATTAATGCCTACAATGAGAACTGACACCCCTGGAAGCCTTGGGAACGGCATCCCCGAGTGACAGAGAGAGAGACGGAGGGATCACCGAACTGTACAACACACAGCCGACTATTTCAGGCTAATTATTGTCAGTCCTCTCTCTGAGGCTAAAAGAGGTCTGTGCCTTTTTTTTTTAATCTTCCCGGGAGGCACTGAGGGCTCCTCCAGGTCTCGCCTGTTATGTCATTATCTTAGGAGCAAAAGGGCTTCCTTGGGATTGTCTAGAGTCTGGTTTCTTATGAATGTTCCGGCAAAACCATGGCTGCTCAACCCACCCCAGGCTTTTCATTCCAGGTGAGAATATTGTTATCAAAACCTAGTACTGCAGCGAGGGACTTCAGGGGCTTTTCAAGGAGAGAAAACGAACCTCAAAGCTTCACAAAAGCTAAAACCCAGGCACAGCATTTTAGGTTTACTGGTCCTAGAAGCTCCTGTCTGTCCGCGCTCCCGTCACCAAGAAGATGTGCCGAGAATGGAAGCGGAGGGAGTGAAAGGTGCGCATCTGCCCCCTCCCTTCTCCCCACAGACACCCTTCCCACGCCGGACCCCACCTCGGTGGGACAGGAACAAGATGTACGCCTGTGTCGGTAACTGTGGTCACCTTTCAGGGTGCAACAGACAGAGTGCCATCACGGAAGGCACACTTGCCTGATGTCTTTACTCTGTGGTGCTTCTGACTGCTGGCGGTTCACCACTGAGCCGGAAAAAGGGCGTCTGGTTTTCAGACCAGCAGATGGCCAGGGCTGGTCTGGGGTCTCCCAAAGGACACAAAAATCCCAACAGCTCCCAGACTTTGTTGAATCTGGTCATTACTAACGTTTTGATATTGAAGATTTACCTCTACGCAATTTTGAAGCATCAAATTTAACCGGCAGACCTAAAGCATATGGTTAGCTGTCTAAACTGACCCCTGCAACCCACCCCTGGGAATTAAGCCAGAAGGATTAGAACAAAAAGATTTTTTAAAAAAGTAAAATAAACTCACATTAAGCATTGCTTTCTATACAGCAGCAGAAAGCCATCAAAATTAATGAGATTTAAATTTCTTATTTATTATTTATTTAAACTTCTTAATATTATTTTGGCAAAATTGGTACTATTGGGGGTATAATGGCAAGAACCTGAGGTTGTTCTTTTAAGACTTTATTTATTTACTTTTAGAGAGAGGAGAAGGGAGGGAGAAAGAGAGGAAGAGAAAGATCGATGTGAGAAAGAAACACCCATTGGTTGCCTCTCGCACATGCTCTGACCGGAGACCTGGAGTACAATGCAGGCGTGTGCCCTGACCAGGAGCAGAACCGGTGACCTCTCACTTTGCAGGATGGCACCCAACCCTCTGAGCCATGCTGGTCAGGGCATGAAAAGAACATGAGTTTTAAAGTCATCCAGTCTTAGATTTGAAACCAGGCGCAACCCTTGTTAGCTGTGTGACTTTGGCCAATTAATTTAACTTCTTTGAGCCTTAGCTTCTTCAATTGCAAAGTTGGGCTAATAAGACATACTTTGAAGAGTTTTATGAGAATTAAATCAGATAAACTATGTCAAAAACCACCACAGTTCCTGGCACATCCCAAGTACACAGCATAGGTTAGTTTCTAAGGTTATTAGGTAACTTTTTGAAGTCCCGTTACTCCACAAAAGAGGCCTAAAATGACAAGGAACATGGCACATTTCCTCCCAGAATTTTCTAGAATTGACAATTAGCAGCTTTTACTCAGAGGGAGCAAACATTTCTACTTAAGAAGCAAGAAAGCCAGGCCAAATTTTATTTCACATGCACGCTTTCAAAAGGCTTTTTGACAATTCATTCCCACTGCTACTGGGACGGGATTTCATTGGCGGCTGAGGAGGTGGTGAGCACCTGACTCGGCCCTTCGTCAATACCCAGAGGTTTGAAAGGGTTTTTTTTAAGTGAAATGCATTTTCCTTGTGTTCATGTCATTGCAACCTCTGGCAGGAGGAGTTAGACGTGGGCATTATGTCACATGGACACAAAGGAACTCGCAGCCTCATTGACTTCTGAGAAGAAATCAATTTCATGTGTTTCCTGGGCTAAAAGTCTATTTAATACAACAGGAATCAGGAGAGCGTCGTCTGAAAGAAAAAAAAAAAAGGCAGCAAACCCAGCCGTCCTACCTGGAGCAAACGTTCCTGCTCCTGTTGCCATTTTTCCTGTCGCCTGCGCTCCTCTTCCGGGTCCCACGCCCAGAACTTAAACTGCTTAGAAAATAAAAACGTGATCAGAATCGAGCCATGTCCTCAAGGCCTGGCCAGGGAAAGGGACACAGTTGGCCTGCGGGCTGGCACTTGTATGGACACGCAGAGGCAGAAGCCTTCACGTATATTCATGTATCCATGTTGGCTGCAACCACTTTTTAATCTTAGTCCCTCTTTGGTTTACTTCCAAGAGGCTGATAGGATTCTTTGAACCTTTCTGGAGCTAATGAAAACACGAAGTAATTAGTCCCTGGCATGGGCAGGCTTTTGCTTAATTTCTTTTAGAAGTGATTTCTTAAATGTATTCACGCTCTGGTGTGTAAGATACTCATTCTGCATATTGATCCTGGGTCCAAGCAAATGGGAATGCTTATTTCAGCAGAACTGCATTTCGTAAGAAGCGATGCTCGCTGCACTGTAGAACTATGTCATCTTTTGTACTGCTCTTGCTTTCCACACCGGCCTTCTCCGAAGTGGGTCATTTAACTCACCACCGCCCACCAGCATCGCCTGATGTTGGGGCAACGGGGGAGTCCCTGCTCTGGGACCCACACATGTAACAAACATTCAAACCCAAGGCTTTTTATTGCCTTTTAAGAAAAGTTTTTGTTAGGGAAGGGAGGTGGGGATGGCTGGGGTGGGGGTGGTGATGGTGGAGAGTAAATGCAGACAACCATACTTGAACAACAATAAAATAAATTAAAAAAAGAAAGAAAGAAAGGTTTTTGTGAGTGTGGGAACTGAGTCAGTCCATGGAAATACAGGGATAAAAATGTGAGTCCAAGTGGGCACCCAGGCCACGGGGTGTATGATTGAGAGGGTCCGAGGGAAATCCCAGTGGGTTTCCCTGGGAAACCAGCAAAAGGGGGGGCTGCTGGGTTTAAAGTTGGCCTCCCCTATCACTGGGAGTAAGGGCTGAGGCATATCAGGTTCCCCAATAACTGTACTTCCTACTTCCCCCCAATGGGATAATTTTGAGAGACACTTAGAACTGCCTGGGAATCCTGAAAGAAAAAGTAAGGGGGGGTGGGGGAGTTGGGGAGAAAGGGGAGAGCCTGGGGTGAGGTGGGGCCAGGGAGAATAGACCTACCCTGGCTGCCTGGGTAGCTAGCTAGACAGAGGCAGTCGGGTCCATGGTTTAGATGGGTCCAGTTACTGCCCTGGATACCTGGGTGATCCCCCCTTCCACGCTGCCCTGCCTCCCATAGACCCGCACGACACTCAGGTGTGTGACCCTAAGGCTGGCATCTCCAGGATGGGAATGCAGGCCGGGCCATGAGTGTTGCTTGATCTATAACTTTATAAATATTTATAACTTTAGTATATTTAGACATATGATTGGAACTCTTGCTGTGGTTCCTGCAAATGTTGGGATGGCCACAGAACATCACAGAAAGGAGGCAGACGACGTGGGGAAATGTACTTCCTCTACACCCCTCTTGGGAGTCACGCTGCACATCAGCGGACTACCGGCTCCCACAAGCTGTGCAGGGCAAAAACCATTCACTGGATATAACCCAAAGTTAATCAAACTGCCTTGGATGACCAGAAAATATCATCCAGATGTGAATGCCAGATGGGACATTCTAATGGATTAATAATGTTGGACATTGGCTCTACCAGGCATTTTCCAGAGACCTGCAAGCAGTTGAAATGTTCAGAACCTCAGGAGCACGGCCTTTCTTTGTGTTTTGAGGAAAAAGGGTGTGGTGTGTGAATAAAGCCATCAGGAGCCCAATGGGGAAAAGCCTAGTAGGAAAATAAAAGAAACAATCAGGACTTATTTAATTTTCAGATGTCTGGAGGTACTCATTGCAGGGACAAGTCAAGTAAGGAGGAAGCAGGTCGGAGGAGGAGGTGTAGGGCAGGGGATTTAAGCTCAGAAGATTATTTGTTAACGAGCAAGAGAGAAAAACAATAAGCATTTTCAGAGGAAGATACCGGTGTAATAAACAAGAGGGGAAGAACAGTGATCATTTCCTTGGCAATTATTTGCTGAGCACTTAATATGGGCCAGGTGGGGATACCAGCTGGCGAAGAGTCTCAGCACTGTGGAGCTTACAATGACTGAGTGTGAGTGTGAGTGTGTGTGTGGTATGAGAGGGGTGGGGCTGTACGACCAGATACATAAATGATCACCAGAAGACAGTGGGAAAACCACCATAAAAGAGATATAAGAGGTGCCGGAGAAAGTTGGAATAGAGAGCCTTTAGCCCACGGTGTGCCATTTATAATTTGCTTTTTTATAGATCGGTGTCTGTCTTTGTGTTAGGGGTTACTCAAGGGCAGGGAGGGCCCTTTATCCCCCAAGTATGCCGAGACTTACATTGTTAAGCCTTCCATAAATATTTGCTGAATAAATGAATGGACTCCATGCTGGGTGATGCATCTCCTCTTCTCTCATTCATAGACCATGACCCTGTAGCTTAAGGCCACTCCAAGTCTGACCAAAAATGGCTGAGTTTGCTGAGGTCCGCATAATCAAATGCATACTTTCTCTTTTTCCTCTCTTTTCTTCCTTCCTTCCTTCTTTCTTTTTTTTTTTTTGAAAATTCTTTTACTTTTCTATTCTATGAAGAACTATTTATCACCAAAAGAATTTCGAATTTGGGTAGGTATTTCCGGATAAGAATGCACTTATAATAGGTCAGTAACCTGTCTTTTCTTGTTTTGTTTTGCATAAACAGAAATAAGAATGTTTCTTTTTAGGGCACCCTTCCTCTCCACCCCTGACCAGGGGGTAGAACAACAATGTGACATTGTTGTTCTGATGTGATTTTAAACGAGAACTGGCCTGTGACATGAATGCCTGCTGGGGGTCCTTCTGGGGTTCCCCGCCCCTGTGGCAGTACCCAGCTTCCCAGGAAACTCAAGATTCCCAGTATTGGTTGAGATGGAGCCTCCACAAATGCTGCTATTTCTGGAATGTGCCTGGAGATATTGAGGGTTACGTGACACCTGGGCCCCTTCTCCATTCTGCACAGACACTTAGGAATTCCCAGAGTGAGGCAATTTACTTCTAGGTAAGAACTGGTACTGGCCATGGCGGGCTTCTTGGAGGAGCCACTGGGGACGATTTGTTGATGTATTGGGTACTGTGCTAGGGACTTCTGAGTAATTACTTCAGTTAAGGCTCACAACACCCTGAAAGAAAGGTATTATCTCATTGTACAGTCAAGGAAGATGAGGCTCAGAGAAGGTATGTAAACCTCCAGGGTCCTACTGTTAGTCAGTCTGGAATCAGAAGCACAACAGTGGTTATGCGGCTGCACCCCACCGGCTCTGCGCTGCAGCTGATGGTCCCGCAGAGGAATTGTGCAGATCTGCTGGGAACGCCAGGGTTGGACAGGCATGACGGGCTCAGAGCAGCGCATGTGCAGTTTAGAGAAGAGCCAGGTCAGCCGACAGTGTGTTCAGGTAAAATTGAGCCGCGTGGAATTTGACAGCGTCACGTGTCTTGACATTTTAATTAGCAAATGCTTTTTTACTTCGTTGAAATAAAAAATCAAAAACTAAATGTACGGTTACTGTCATTCAAAGTACCGACTGTCACAAGAGGTGGGGCAAAGACGTCCTGGGTCTCCTGGAAGGAGCGCAGGCGGGGCCTTGCTGCCAACACGCACTGCGCTGAAGTATCGTCCTCAATTAGAAAATGACTTTGCGTGCGTACAGAAGGAGCATATTTTAATACTAATTCCTATTGTCACATGCATTTTAATTGCTACCTTCACATTTTACTTTCCTGACTCCCCATTATGTTTCCAGATCACGACTACACATAATGATAACCCACATCTTCATAATTCACCTGGCAGCATTATACGTGACTTCCAATTATTCTTGTACAGTCAATTGTTTGAAGCCCGTTTTTGACCGAACCCTCTTTCAGTGAACCCAATACCCTGTAATTAAAGTCACACTAAACGTATGACCTTATTCCTTAAAATGAGTTACTTACAGGTGTAGTTGCAGGTGACTTTTCACTGTTTGGAGAATCCACTGTACAGAAAGAAAGGGAAAAAAGGATCACAATGTGAGTAGCTTCCTACTGTGTTTCTCTTTGATCCTCTCAGTGGAGTGTGGTTCCCGTGTCAGCTTCAGACCATTTTTTGTAAGCCAAGAGCATTAGAAAATTATCATAAAGCAGACCCCTGAAGCAGCTGGTACCCATCACCAAAAGTAGTCACAACCAGTGTAATATGGTTGAACACATCAATTAGCACCAAGTACTAGACTAGAGGAAGGAAGCAAAATCTAATCCTACAGGTGCTGGTTTTTGATGCACCTTGTATTCTGGCTTGATTGACAGTTCCCTCACTCTCTGACATGGAGAAATATCGTACAGAGAGAGGCCAGATGTCACCCAGGAAGTAAAGAGAGTGACACAGTTAACAAGAGAACCATGTTCCTGGTAAACACTTCTAATCTCTGTTTTTAAAAAAGAGGACAATAATAAAGAATATTATTATTTCTTTGGATTTTCAAAATCAAAGTAAAATTCTGGGAATTTCCCCCCAATTTTAGTATAACTGGTACTGGTATCAAAGAACCAGCTCTTTGCTAACTGTGTGCCAGAAATAAGCATTTTTTTTCTGAAATCAGGAGTGAAGAAAAATCCCAAACATTATTGGTTGCCGGCAACATGGATTTTTGCACAAGAGGAAGACAGCTAGCCAGTACGCATTTTACCTGACTGGGAGAAAAACTGGGAGCGTCGCCAAGAGTTCTGAACTCTAAGCGGAACACTGGCAGTGCCAGGAGACTCTAGATCAGATGGCAGAACAGAACAAACAGAAAATCATGAAAATGAGGCTGAGTTACACAGAACCACGCTCTCATGTCCCAGGTCTGGCTACACAAGCACTGAGAGTAGAAGAATCTAGAGTGTAAAATATCTCAATAAAACTCATCCAAAACCTGAAGACATGGACAAAAAGTCAACAGAAACGAGACAGTTTATGCTGCTGTCTGTCTTCTTTGGTGTTAGGTGAAACCTGATAGGCTCATATCTAATGGTGATATCATTAAAATGTTGCATCTCCAAATAAGATGATACTCTGTGAAAGAGCAAAATGCACAGTTTTGCATTGCTGTTGGAGAACACTACAAAAATGTAAGGCAGCTGAGATGAGTTCAGTTGTCGCTTTATACACTTTATAAAGGTTGAGTATGGAAGTCTATGGCGATAGTTAAATGTGTGGAACCAAAGGGCGTGTGTGTCTAAGTGCCGTGTGATGGACTCAAGCAGACAAAGGAGCTCCTTCACATCCTTACACTAAGCACCGTGCCTATCTGCCATCATTCTCAGTGCAAATAAAGACATCAGTTTCTGAGATGTGCACATATTTTCCTGAAATACCAATTGGAGATACCTTTCTACTGTTGGGAGACAGCTGAGAAAAGGAAATCTGTGAACTTTAAATGCACATTATGCAGGTTTCCAGAGTATTTAAAGACTGTTTGTGCGTGTGTGTATGTTTAAGGGAAGTCGTGGAACACCGGTAGGGCCCGGCAGCAGACCTTCCGTGGCTCGCAGGGCCTGTCTACGAACAGGCAGCTCTAGGGCATCGGAGCAGCTAGCACTGTCTAGAGGAAGGAGTATCAGGTACGGCTCCAGGATTCCCTGTCCTGACCCTACATATCCTCTCGCTTGATGTGCAACCTCAAACTAGTCCCTTAAAGGAGCACTGACTCTTTATATCTGAGCAAAGTCCTAAACTTTCTCTGTCCCTCCAATTAAAGACAAATCATTTCTTTTAAGGTTACACTTATTACAGGCCTTGCTTCTTGAAAGACAGGAATTTATACACTCCAAACATGTATTATTGATTTTTTTATGTCTATCGGTGATGTCTTTGGAGCACAATTTAAACATACAAGGTATATTTCAAGTCAGTGGTCTTCCGAGTGTGCTCCCTGGATCTGTGGCCTCAGCATCCCACTGGGAAGTTGTTAGAAATGCAAATACTGTGGCCCCAGCCCAGACAAACTCAGTGAGACACTGGGGGTGGGGGTTGGGGCCAGGGGTAGGAGTAGCGATCTGTGCTTTAACCCATCCCACCCAGGTCATTGGTATACACTCATGTTTGAGAACTATTGCTTAAAGCCCTAGCTCCACAATATAAATACTTTCATTGTAAGGAAAACATTTAGAATAGTTCACTTCTGCCTGGCATTTCACTCTGTACTTCTATTGCCACTATTCTGTAACTGCTCGATGATTATTAGTGATTATTCTGGTGCAGGGGTTGAGGTAAACCTTTTCTTGTTGTTTATCTCACTTAATTCTTCCAATACCCCTACTGGACTGGTCCTATTATTATTTCCAGTTTACAGGTGACGATTAGAGATTAGGGAGAATTTGGTGGGTAAGAACTAGATGAGTAAGAATTAGAACCCAGATGTTCTGTCTCCAGAGCCTCAACAGTAAGTGCAGCTTCCATGAGCCAGAGTACGGAACAGGTGGATGTACACCAAATAGAATGTGGTCCTGAAGAACAGCTTTTGAAATGCTCCACTGCTACCAAATTTTATTTTCTCATCACTCAATTTAGATGTTGCATGAAATCCCTTATTCAACAGCATATTCTACAATCAAAGTGCTTTACGACAGACAATGGGATGTAAAAATAAATAGAAGACCACAAAACTAATCAATACGGCTTAACATACATGTATTTGCTCTCTACATTACTTATCTATACAATTGCAAAGTGCTAGAAATAGGGCATAATTTAAATTTCTCTAAATGTGACTGACTGCTGGCCCAATTAGAAGACTATTTTTGTCCATTTCCTTCAGAGCAGTAGGGCTGAAAATTCTAAAACAAATGTTTTGAAGACAGTATTGAACTTGCTTCCTCATTAAAAAACTAATGCTCCTCGGAGCATGTATCAATTGCATTCCCTCCCAAGTACTTCCTGTTATGCAGAGAGAGCCCAACTTATCTCGTAGACATCACCAAAGGGTGACGGAAGCCACTCAGATTCTGCCCCAGATTGCTAGCTGACCCTCCTTTAAAGAAAAGTAAAAGTCAATCTCCAGCCACAGCGTATCTGTACCGTCCTCTCTGTGCTAAGGCTCATGAGTATGTAAAATGTACCAGGGAAAGTACATTAAAAAAGAAAAACAAGAAACCTTACAGTTTTTGCCTCCTAAAGTCTAGCTGTTTTCATATCTAGAGAGAGAACTCACACCAGTGAAGCCCAGTGATCTGTTCTGAAGAACAGTCTCTATAGATCATGGACTCCTTGGGACCCACCCCCCACTGTTCACACCCCTAAGGCTCTTTTTGGTGTGGTTGTGGGCATCCCGGTTTCTCACCAGGATAAAAAAAATTCAAGTTGGGGTCTTAAAGAGTACAGAGGTAAATGCACAACCTATACATGGGCCTAAAAGGTACTTGGGAGTTTGCAGTGGGTAGTGCCATTTAAAGACCTCCACAGGCCTGAACCTCCTATATTTCCAGAGGCTACCCTTCCACATGTTACACAGAACATAAGAGACATATTAAAATATATCCTCAGCATACATATGTATATATCTGCACATATATGTGTATAGACATAGAACTATTCTTGTTATAAAACTTTTTGGAAAGATTGAAGTTTTTGGTTATGAGCAATACATTTAATCTATGACTGGGAAAGACTTCTCAGGGCACACCCAGTGGTCACTCTGAAGTAAGAAGGTCTGACTTTCTTCTAAAGTCACTGTCAAGTGGATCTTTTATAAAGCCTGGATAATCAACAATTAACAACAAGTTGATATAATATTAAGATTATACATCTTCTGTTAAAGTTATTGATTTTATATTTTATATTTTTAAAAGCATTTTGGAGCCAATAAAATTATTTTAAGGTATCAATCACTTGTGTAGGCTTTATCGTGCCTATAGTGCCCGGATGACAAAATGACCTCGGCAGCTGGGGCTACTGGCGAGGCCAAATAGAGGGTGCGGCCCCGCAAGTCTATTCTGCAAGTTATTAATTCCGCCATCAAGGACTCTGGCCAACACTGTGGCTAAAGGGACTTCAACACAAAGGAGGTAATCTTCCTTCAAATCAGAGAATATTTTACTACAGATGGGCCCAGGAAAACATGCAGAACTAAAATAAAACATTTCCATCTCTTTACCTTGAGAACTGAGATTTGGCAAATGTAACTGGCTGGTTTCAGGCATTTTGTCCAGAAATGGAAACGTCAGGGTTGCTTCTGGTTCTGGAGATTTTGGCTTTACCACCTGGATCATGAGCAACAGACATAAACATGGCAAGTACTGTCCATTAATAAACATACAGGTGAAATCACACTAAAGAGTTCATGGCTATTGTATAAGTCAATAAGCCCCAACATTTAACTTGTAAATGGAGAATTTCCCCCATGGTCCTATCCCTCTTTGTATTTTTCTACTGTAATGCAGGTCAGTTTTTCAGAGAAACTGAAGGAGAGCATAAAGATTTGATGATCACTTTTCTCTAAACCCAGAAGATAGAATTCTGTCTTTAGAATTATATACCACTCTGTCTCATTTTCTCATTGATCAATCACATATTCTCTTCTTGATACTACATTATACTGAATTTATAATGTCAGGGTGTGAGATGTTCCATGTAAGATTTTCAAAACTCTTACTATGTGAGTATTAAATACTAAAGTAATATTTCCTTCTAATGGACACTATTTTTGAGATACTGCACATCGCTCCCAACACATTTATGCAAAGCACATTAAAGATAATATACTTTGCCTGTTGACATAAAAGCATTCTTTGTTATAAATAGCCATTACCAAACAACACCCCAGCAATGATGTCCTTTGGGGGTTTTTGAGGCATGGTAGATTACTTGTCCTATGGTAAATAGTTCTCAAATTACCGGCTTTGCAATTCTTATGTTTGCTTTGTAAAAATAGAATTTTCTTGCTATTGCTATTTAATTATATTTTGTTTTTCCTTAATCTTAATGGCCTTGGGTAGAAACAACTTCTATCTGATTTGTTGTTTCTCATCAACTGATCTCTGAAAGACCAGATTACCAAACTAACGTCTAGAATGAAAATCAGTCGACTCTGAGCACAGATCTGAATGAGGAGCAGGGCTACATCAGCTCACATCCTTTCAGCTGCCTACCGGACTTCCTCTCATTCACTCTGGCTGGTGGCTGTGTTCCCCACAAACTAATCTGACAGCCAATAAGGCAAGCGAGGTTATAGAGAGAGCACTTGTTTCATCATAAGTGGATCTATGATTCAGTCCTCAGGATGATTTAATGTCTAGAATTTCTTCTTGGCAGGATTCTATTTTTCCTGAAGAAAATACAGTTACTCACTTCATTCTGCATTATAAAGGTTAACGAGATGTCCAAATGAACTTCAGTGTTAATTAAACATGTAGCAAAGTGACAACCCTCCCCTCTTGACCTTATACCATTTCCTTTATACTCAAGTCTGATAAAAACACATCTCAGATAAGGCCCAGTTGTAAATGAAACAGTTCACAGTCAGCAGAAACGCTCAAAATGACCACTGTAAGAAAATCGACCACTGTCGATTTGTGTGCATGGAAACTTTGCAACACTCTCAAGTGAAGTCAGAAAAGAAAGGCAGTTGAGACCCCTGTGACCACCTACAGTGGGGGGGCAGAAATTCACGTGGTGTGAGAGAAGCTGTGGGCTCAAAGACCCACGATCACATGTCCTGATCAGCTCTTAGTTCTTAACCTGGAGTCCACATGACAGAATTCAGGGCCTGTGTGTACTTAGTACCACTTGATACCAAGGAAGACTGGGTAATTCTGTGTAGTTTATGTTTTAAAAATATTATTCTGAGAACAAGGTTTACCAGATGGCCAAAGCGTCCAAGGCCACTTTGCGTGAGCCTACATACAAGCGTGCACACAGTTAAGAGTCCCTGAGAATATTTTTTCCACAGAGTACATGTGATACTCCAAAGGTGGGTCACAGATGAGGTTTACAGATGAGGAATGCAGATAAATACATTCTAGTGACGGCATGCATTTTGTTTCATTGAAAAAGTTCTAGCATGAAAAAGAGTTTTCCTTTCAGTTTAGATTTAAATGGAACAAAATGTCAGTTGGGAAGAATGATAAACGATGGTTATAAGTGTAACACAGATAAAGCAAAACCTGCAAAGATAGGGAAGTCTGCCTGCCCCCAATGTTACTCAACATACAGCCTAGTTACTCTGCTCAGACCTCCAGAGCACTCTTTACATCCCTGTGTATGAAAGTGGGCAGCAGCTAGACTCTGACATTCACAAAAGGCATTAAGGCAACAGGTATTTCTGAGGCTTTATGAAGACACAACACTCTCACCTCCCGAAGGCCAGGCTCATGTCTTGTTCACTGGTGAATATCCAGTGTCTAATACAGTGCTTGGCACACAGTAGGTGCACAGCCTTCAGGTCTTATTTATTGACTAAATGATGGATGAACCAGATGTAGAAGTGGTAATTTTTTTACTCTAAAGTCAAATCCAAATTTAGGGTTAATTTTTAAAGTTGAAATACTACCACATGTATGATAGTATGCCTGCATGCAGCTCAGTGGTTCTCTCTCTATATCAGTGGCATGCTAGAATCACATGGGGAGCTGTTTAAAATACAAATGACTGGGCCCTGCCCCCTGGAATTCTGATTTATTTGAGCTGGATTGTGCTTGGTGTATTTTTAAATTCTAAGGGGTAGCCAAGGTTGAGAACAATTGATATAAAACATGAAGACTTTTGGGGTCTATGCCTGAAAACAAATCAAATTATTATGAAAAGGATGAGATTCCAAACAAAGAAAAAATTTAATCAAAACAACATGTTAAAACTCATTATATCAGCACAATAAGGTTCTAGTTTCCTTGTTGCTAAAATCTAGAGGCGTCAGAAGTATACTGCTATAAAATAGCTAAATATGGGAAAGAGAATCATTAGTAAGCTGAAAATAAGCAAGCTCACACTCATACACACAGACCACAGCCTAACTGCAAAGCTTTATAACTTATATGAACATCACATTAAAAAATATAGACAAGTGTTCATAATTAAAAACTGTTTCAAATAAAATTTAAAATATGTGGAAAAATACATATATACATATACAAATTATTACTAATAGAAAGGTAGGTTTCAGTGAGTTTTTCTTGCTCTTGCTCTATGTTTGCTTATTTATATGTCATTTAAAATAAATATACATATATTATGTGATAGATTTGTTACATATTTATGTATACATCACTATAAATACAAATTTAAAAAGTATATAGCTATAGACTGAATGTTTGTGGCCCCACCCAGATTCCTATGTTGAAATCCTAACCCCCAAGGTGATGGTGTTATAAGGGTGGGGTGATTAGGTCATGAGGGCAGAACCCTCAGGAGTGGGATTAGTGTCCTTATAAAAGAAAGCCCCGAGAGCTCCTCGCCCCTTCTGTCAAGTGAGAACACAGTGAGAGGATGTCCATCTGTGAACGAGGAAGGGGGTTCCCTCCAGACCCCAAAGCTGCCTTGACCCTGGACTTCCCAGCCTCCAGCACTGTGGGAGATGAATGTTGGTCGTTTGTAAACCACTCAGTCTATGGCATTCTGTTACAGCAGCCGCAGTGGACGAATACATCTTGCCATATGTATTTAAGTTACTTACAATGAACGTGGAGTACATTTGTATTTAGAAAAAACACAGGTTAAAGGTAGAAAACAGACAGGAAGAGAAAATAAATCTTCATTAGGAACAAGTGCCACAGCAGCACCCAGCTGACACGTGAGGCCACACTAATTTAAATTTAACTGCTTTGACCCACTACGTAATTCACCTTTTGTGACAGCACCAACTCCACCTTCCCACTCATTTCAGTGTCCGGTGTCTTTGGGTCCTCTTCTTCCGGCACATCGTTCTTCGGCTTGGGGCTGGAGGAGAACTCCACCAAGGCCACAGTCGGGCTGGATCGAGTCACAGTGGTTGTAAAATGCTGTGGCTCTGAAATGGAGGCACATGCAGAAACATAAAGAAGTGGAATTATTGTGTGATGAGACGTATAAAAGAGCCTAAGCTGCAAGAATTTGCCAGGCTTTTTCATGATATTATAAAAAAAATCAAGCACATAAAACACATCAAAGAATCCCACCGTCAAAAACTTAAGTTCCTAACAAGACTCGGAGCTGGCGTGTGAGTAACACTACAGGAAAACAATGCCGGCACGATACGCTATGATAGGTGGGTTGGGTGGATGAACACCTCCATGTGATTTCCATCCGGAGGCTGAGCCACAGCCTGACTCTTCCTCCTGTGTGTATGTCCTTTGTCTTCTTCGCATTTCCATCACTGAATGTGTTCGGAATGAACGTGTACACAGAATGCAAGGGAAACAAAGTGTTCTTTGACACATGGAAGAAGGATTGGGTACACTCTACAGTGGGTGGGAAAGTCACCACCTGTGGGGGTGTATCAAGATGAGGAGGGGTAATCCAGTTTGAAATTTTTAGGAATGGCGTTTCATGTATTCTAACAGGTCATTGAAAATGGAATTTTAACTTGGAATTAGAAGACAGTGAGAGACTTTTATGCTTATCAAGAGAAGAAATGTGTTGCAAATATTGAAAAACTAATTAATTCAGGAAACACTAGGTCTCTTCATAGTCACTGTCCATATTACTTTATTCTTTCAAACTATTCAACAGCTATATTATTTCAGTTTCTATTTTGTAATATATTTCTTATCTGTGACATATAGTGTTGTTACTCTATGTTAAAGTATGACCCTCAGTTATTATCATTACTTATTTGGGGCAATATAATCTTATTTATGATGATGGAGATTAAAAAAACAAAACAAAACAGAGCCAGGTAAATCCATCAGAATTCCCCTAGTAGCCTCTAGGTGGCAGCACAACCCCACCAGTTTTAGAATCTCATTTCCTTTCTGTTGCTCAGGAGCAATTCTTGAGTCTATTTCCATTATATCAACATCTTAAGAATTATCATGATTTATGGAACCTTAAAACTAGCCCGTTAGGAAACAAACCTGAGGAGGCAAGTTCTGTATTCCCTTTGTGTGGTTTTCCACCATCAGTCTTATCTTCTTGACTGTTCAGGTCAATATCCTCAGTGGTTGCCTGAAAAAAAGATTTTTATGTCCTCTTGAATAAATAATTCCTTTGAAGCTTCTATAAAGTAAAAGATTTCTTTCTTTCTTTTTTTTAAACAGTACTATTTAGGCCAACAAGGCAAGCTGCCTATAGGAATTCACTCTTTTGTGCTTCTCAGGCAGCTTTACAGTGAAGGGCAGGCTTTGCTGGAAGCAGACATCTAGTGAGGGAGAGGAGGGAGGCTGAACCAGCGGCACTTCCCACACCCACTAGCCACTTGCCCACACCCACCAGCCACCTTCCCACACCCCCTAGCCACCTGCCCACACCCTCTAGCCATCTGCCCACACCCTCTAGCTACCTGCCCACACCCCCTAGCCACCTGCCCACACCCTCTAGCCACCTGCCCACACCCACCAGCCACCTGCCCACACCCTCTAGCCACCTGCCCACACCCACCAGCCACCTGCCCACACCCTCTAGCCACCTGCCCACACCCTCTGGCTGCCTCAGATGCACATGCCCATTTTGTCCTTCCTTTTACCACCGAATTTTCAAAATCATAGTTGCCCCTACACACTTGCTTCCAGATGCCTTTAAAGGTGGCCTGGGGTCATATCGACAGTGGGGAAATGTTTTGCTCTTGTTGTTAAGATTACAAGTAACCTCCCAGTTGCTTGCCTTCAGCATAGATGCCTGTGGCTCTCAGCATTGTGGAATTTATTCCTGATGTTCCCTTCCTTCCTGGGCTCTCAACAACTCTGTTACTCGAGTTCTGATATTCTCATTCATTTTCTCTCTCTGGACTTCTACCAGTTCTTATTTCTTTTCTTTCCATAAAAATACAAGTGACTCCTAAAAACTTCCAACTATTTTTCCCCACCTGTGCTGAGTCACCCTCCAATGTAAAATATTGATTACTCCCTGGGGTTCTCCACTACGTTCTGTTTCCAATTGATGACTTGTACTTTCATCTCCTAACCCCGGAGTCCACCAAAGCTCTAGTTCGGCCAACCTACCATCACCGTCATGGTCAATGGCTCACCCTCAATGTTGGACTAAATGTTGCCCTCGGACAAGCCCCTCTGCCAAATCCAGTGCTTTCTGTCCTGGCATGAATTTCCCCCATTGCACAAATTAAACTTTGAAGTGTTTCCTGACTCAGGCCCCCTGAGTGCCCATCATCTGCCAAGTCCTGCCAAGGCTCTACCACAATAGTTTTTGAATCCGTCTCTTCCTTTCTGTTTTTGCAGCTAGAGGTGAACTTTGCCTTTGTTCCCTTGTTCTCCCACTGAGTTGGGATCTTGCCGTGGAACTCCCTTGGCACATCACCATGATGTCCACCTCTCTCAGTAGCACCGCGGCTTATCAGTGTGATGCTCATGCGCTTCTCCTGCAGCAGCACCGCGAGGGTGCCAGTTTGATGCTTGATGGAATTTACACCATCAAGAAAATGTGGAACAACCTAAATGTCCAACAATTGAGGAACGGCTGAATTAATTATTACTCTGTGTTCAAAACAGGAAATACCATGCCATCATAAAGGGGTGTTGCACAATAGTTAATGATATGTGAAAATATTTATTATCTAATGTTAGGTTAAAAAATGTAAACTGTATATTCAATATGATGCCTGTATACATAAGATTTTATATATGCTATATGAATGCACACATATTTCCATTAGTACATATATAAGACAGTAAGGAAACATTAAAATGTTAATAGTGATTATTTTTAATGTGCTTAAATTTTGGATGACTTTTTCAAATAAATTTTCTGTATTCTGAAATATTCTACAATGACTACGTATTGCTTCTATAATCATAAAATAAAATCAACGTACTTTTACATTATCTTTTGTTGGGAGCCAATTGACTCCAGAGTGAATTCCAAAATTCTCCCACTGATATTACAGTATTTGCATGATATAAGTAAATGATAGTCGAATTAAATACTTGCTAAAATACACCTCCACAACCAAAGAGGACAAGTTAATGACTGTCATGTTTGTTAGTAATAGTGTTTTATTATAAAAGGCCAGAGTTGAAATTGTAAAGTGTGAATAAAATATTTTATAAATCTTAAAAGGTTTTAAGATAAGGACTAGAATTGGTTTCAGATAAGGCACTATTAAATACTTTATAAAATATCCCCATGGGATCTCAAGAAGCTTTGGATTTATTGATTTCTCATAAGTATATACCTTTTACCTATAAATCAAATTTTGCCTTTCAAGCAGCCAAAATAAAAGCTCTTCAAAGTTAACACATTGGGTCCTGACCAGTGTGGCTCAGTTGGTTGGAGGCTCATCCCATAACCTGAAAGGCTGTGGGTCTCATTCTTAGTCAGGGCACACGCCTAGATTGTGTGCCTGGTAGGGGTGCTTATGAAAAGGCAACCAGTCTCTCTCTTTCTCCTTCCCTGACCCTCTCTCATGTGGGCATGTCCTCAAGTGAAGATAAAAAAAAGTTAATGTGTTGGTGGAAATGGTCATTAATTTTTTTTAGAAAGTAAAACTTTATGCAAGGATGAAAGTATGGTTCAACATATATAAATCAATAAATGTGATATACAATATTAATAGAATGAAAAATAAAAATCATATGATCATATCAATAGATGTAGAAAAGGCATTTGACAAAATTTAACATCCTTTCATGTAAAAACTCTCAACAAATTAGGTATAGAAGAATGTACCTAAATATTATAGACTATAAAAATTGTACCTCAACAAATTAGATATAGAAAAATGTACCTAAACCTCATAAGCTCACAACTAACATAACACTTAATGATGAAAAGGTAGAAGCCTTTTCCTCTAAAATCAGAAACAAGACAAGGGTGCCCATACTCACAACTTCTATTCAACATAGTACTGGAAGTGCTAGCCAGAGCAATGAGGCAAAAAATCAATCAAACAACCAATCAATCAATGCATTTGAATTAGAAAGGAAGAAGTAAAATTGTTTCTGTTTGTAGAGGACATAATCTTATATAAAGAAAACCCTAAAGACTGTACTCCCCCCCCAAAAAAAAACCCTGTTAAAACAAGTAAATGAATTAAGTTGCAGGATATAAAATCAATATACAAATATCTAAAAAGGAAATTAAGGAAACAATCCCATTTATAATAGCATTAAAAAGAATAAAATACTTAAGAATAAATTTAACAAGGGAGGTAGAAGATCTGTATAATGAAACTATGAAACTTTGATGAAAGAAATTGAAAAAAAAGAAGTAAATGAAAAGATATCCTGTGTTCATATATTGAACAAATTAGTATTGTTAAAATGTTCAAACTACTCAAAAACAGTCTATAGATTCAGTGTAATCCCTATCAAAATTCCAATGATACTTTTCACAGAATGGGAAGAAAGAAATCTTAAATTACAAAAGACCCCAAATAGATAAAGCAATCTTGAGCTAGAAGAACAAAGCTGGAGACACCGCAGTTCCTGACTTCAAACTATACTATCAAGCTATAGTAACCAACACAGTACAGTGCTAGTATAAAAACAGACGCATAGATCAGTAGAACAGAATACAGAGTAGAATGGTAGTTACCAGACCTGGGGTACAGGAAGAAAGGCGGAGGGAGTAGAATGGTAATTGTCAGGGTCTGGGAAAGAGGGTGACAGCCATTTTTTAAGGGTTAGAGAACTTCCGTATGCAAGATGACAAGAGTTCAGGAGATGGGCGGTGGTGACGGTTGCACAAAAATACGAATGACTTGATGCCGCTGAATGTACACTTCACAATGCTTCAGATAATACACTTTGCTATGTGCATTTTACCACAATAAAAATATTAGGAAAAAACACTGTTAAAAATAAAAATTATTTGCAAATGTTTAAGTTAAAAAATACACAAATAACATTAAATAACATCCTCTTCAAGCTTCTAAAAGACTTTACACAGCATCTAATGGCAGAAAGGGGTCTTTTGGAAGATGGGGTAGTTTTGAAATCTTCATAATTAGATGGGCATTTTCTAATGATGGATAACATGTACCAATTCTGAAAGAACATGATATTAAATTAAAATGCACTTTTAAAACCCTAGGCAGGAAATAAAAATTACATTTATATTATTTAATAGATTTTATAACTTTCTAACATATCAACAAGCCTGAACTGAATCCTTTTAAGAGATTTAAAGAGTGAAAATAGTTAAATACACTGAAGATTCTCCTTTTTAAATTATATATATATGTTGTATATGTGTGTTCACAGTTTTATATTAATGACTGATACGACAGTATCATTTGAAGATTACAAAAGATAGTAGCAGTTGAGCATTACAAAATAATAAGTTGGGTTCTTTAAGTTAAATTGCTCCTCCACATACAGAAATTTCAATATATGGTAGTATTTTATGTTTTATGATTTAATATATAAAATATGGTCAGAAATATTGATTTTTAGGTTTCCCCCCCAAATTGGATTAGGCTATAGAAAGCCATCTGAGGTTGGGAAACAAATCTGCAGTTAACTATTGAGAGCTCTGGTGTTTCCAATTATTAGAAGTAACATGAATAACCACAAAAACCCAGGCCCACAATGAACAACAACAAAAAGAAGCACGTGCTTTATTAAATCTCGGATGCCACCAATATTAGGTTGTGTTATTTTAGGCGCTACTAAGAAAGAAGACACACTGTCTGTTAGAGATGACTGACTACTGAGTATTAGACATCCGGTCTAGAGTTGCTCAAAGGTGGAGAGTGCGCCTATTGGAATCAGTAAAATAAGACAACTCAAGTCCTTCAGATATCATTTATAATTTGAAGGAGACAAAATCCTCAAGCACAACTTCACTGAGAATTATTTTGCTCGCACATCACATTCCAGAAATATTTTACTTACGTGAGACTAATGGAAAACTTCCACTTTCAAGAATTCTCATTCATTTCTGAATGCATTTCTATACGGCTTAACACTCAGACACTGAGCTCCCAGATGCCCCGATTTATCCTCCCTTAAAGTGATGCTTTCGAGGTTTCGTCCTTTGGCTATCGTAGCCGT